ATAAATTTAAAATGCAATTTAAAAAAATAAATATTTTTTTTTACAAAAAAAGGAACCCTTCCCATCTTTGGTTCTCATGAAAATGACATGAGAGAATCATTTCATCATGAGAGTCTAATTGCTTCTCTGCATACCCCCACTAGACAAAGTTTGAAAGATGAGTTTCTCTAAAAAGGTGTTCTTCTCTTGTATTGGACGTTTCACAAAACCAGAAAAGTATATTATGGGACTGACCTAACTTCGTGATTAATTAGCTATCAGCTACAGCCATTTTTGCTTTTTGGCTCACATGTGTTGCATGGCCTTCTATCCCAAATTTGGCAAAATATTGATCATCACTCTATGGTTCTCATTTCAAAACTAGGCAAGTTTGGACCATAGATAAATCTATTAAGCGGCTTGTGAACTAAGGTCGATGGGCTAGAAAATCAAGCTTAAGACATAAGACAACTCTGCTCGACTCATTATTTCCTGAGCCAACTCGTTTAAAAACTAATAGAAATGTTACATTTAAAATATATTAAAATTCAAGAATTTTTCATTAATTTATTAAAAATATTTTACATCTGACATGAAGTGATTTCTTCTTAATTATCTCCTAAGTACTATTTCTACTTGTCATTCTATCATAAGACTGGTTTAAATTTCAGTAAAATTGAGGTTTTGCATTTTATTTTCCCCTATTATCTTGATGTTGTTGATCATAAATTGGTTAATTGGGGTGTGCATTTTTCTCTCATGAAGATACAAGTTTGTTTTGTCAATTTCTTATTGATTTTTTTTTGGCATGGTTAGGTGACTAATTTAGTTTTTAACTTGATTTCATTTATATTAATGGTTTCTCTTCCTAGGTGCTCTATGCACCACATGTTCTTGATCATCTTCTAACAATGGGTAAAAGGCAATTATATTACCACAATATCAAATGTGAAACCTTTCACATTATCATGATTAGGGTAGTCACATCATTCGTTAAGTCATTTGTAAGGATTACATGAAAATAAACTCTTATTTATTGACATTTTTGCATACTATGCGACCTACAATAGATCAAATTCAACTATGAAATTCTACTTTATCAAAATCATACTCCAACACAAAAAAAAAAGAAAAAACATAGAACTTCAACTAGAGTTCAACATTATTTAGTTCTAAGCTACATTGGATGACATGGATTTATAGGCTAACATGATTCTTAGCATTATTTATAGGAATCTGCGGCTCTGATAAAAGATGAGCCACTGAGACTTCCTTGAAAAATTCATGATCATAAGCTATGAATCTTCCTCAAAAATATCAACAAGAAAGGTACAGCTTATTTTAATTCATATGGCACTGACATACAAAATTTTTTAAAAACTGTGCAAATTATCATCCAACATGAAAATTTAGACCCATTGTCCAACCGAATATTGAGTTGTGGAGTATAAGTTTTAAAATATGAAGCAAATATAGTATGTTGCCTTAATCTTTCTTATTTTTCTTTTTTTTTCCATTAAAAAAATATTAGCTATAAGTCGTACTTGAGAAAGTATTGTTATAATTACCGACAATCAAAATCATACTGATATTTGTAATGCCTCCAATATGGCCATAAAAGTTTTTGTGCTTATGCCTGTTGATCTATTTTTTTAATTTATTTTGCTTCTTTTTTCACTCTCATTGTTCAAATTGAATTTTATCTAGTTCCTAATACAAGATACATCATCTCTCATATAAAAGAGAAACTATTGAATATTATACAAGTAATTCTACATGTGCATTAGATGCTTGACTAAACATATATTAGATAAGTACTAAACATGTACGGACGTGTACACATCTTGTACACACTACAATGGGACGTATGCTACACACACTTGTAAATTATGCATACAAAGATGTATATAAGTGCAAATATATGTTTGGTGTGTGTGTAGAAAGTATGTACTAATAAATTACAATTTGTCTTGTAATATTCTTCATTTGATATATTTTAAATAGACAATGTGAGAGGACGATATTGTACGATATTGTGATCGAGTGGTTGAACATTTCTCCCGCAACCAAACATCCTGTTTGCCCAAAAATGATAGATAAAAGATGATGTGGTCAACTCTCTCTCCACATACAACTTGCTCATATTCTTCTCTCTAAGTTCTCCACCACATTAAGGTCCAAACTCCCCCTTGGACAGCTTAAAAAGCACTTCCAAGCTACATTTTGATCTTATGCATGGTTTATCAGCCACTAGAAGAAGATGACAAATTTTGCAAACATTTTGGTTAGAAAACACTTAGTCCTTACACTGCTGCAATGGATTAATATAGCTGCGTTTATAGTTCTTTGATTTTTTTTTTTTTTTTTTGAAGTGCAAGTTTAGTTAAGTATATATCTAAAATGAATTTGGGAAGGGTGCAATTTTCCATCACAAAATGTTTTTGAATTTTTATTTATTTATATATTATTTGTAAACTTTCTAATTAACTTTTATTCTTGACAAAATTTGGTTGAAATGATAGAAAAATATGTCAATTTGTGAAGGATAATTAGTCCATCACAAATCTTTTGCAATATGAAAAATAATGGATCCTCAAAATCTTGACATTTTCATTGCTTATTAAATTTTCTCAATCTTTCTTTTTATTTTACTCTATCAAATATTATTAAGTGCTTTGAGTTTAGCACATGTTTAGGCCCCTTCAAAAGGTTAAATTATTTTGTGATTTGATTATTGAGTTAACCTGTGAGTTAAATGTCTTCCTGACCATCCTATACTATTGATGAACTTACTAGTCAATCACTTAACCCAAATGAGCCAAGTATAGCCCAGTTTTCCAAATTAAATCCTATATGACTATCTTAAAGCCATGCCTAATAACATATATAATAACATGACCATTATACTTATATGCTTCATAACTTCTTGTTTATTATGTTGATTTAGATGAAAAGCCTCTTAGACTATTTGTTTGCATTTGGTTTTTAGACTCTAAAAATGCAAATTTTAGATGACGGGTATGTTTTGATAGTTTATTCTCTTATGCATTCACATTTAGTCGAGTTGGTCTCACATCAATATCACAACTAAGCCTAAAACTAATTGAATGAATCATCACTGATTAAAGTTTACGCTTAAATTTTGATCGGGCAAAATCATTTTTCATGCCACTTAAATATTTGATAGATATTTTAAGAACTAAGGATATCATGACAAATCTTCATTTTAGTGATTTATACAATGTTTTAAAGTCTAGCATACTTTTTAGATTAATTTTAATTTGGTAGTTAAATATTCACAAGGAATGATTCCAAAATAATCAAGCATCTTCTTTTTCCTTTAGACAAGATGAATGCACAAGTCCAACACAGTAAAATTCTTCCTATCAATGTTCTACACATCCATGAGTTAACTTTCTCCTACAAATTACACCTATTCAGTGCACAGAATTTCATTTAACAAATCTTTTTAAGACAATGCAAAATGATTAACAGTTAAAGAAAATCTTTTTATGTAAGATAAGATAGATAACACACACAAGCGCGCGCACGCAGAGAGAGAGAGAGAGAAAGGGAATAATATTAAATTAAAATTTAAAAATAATAATAATTAAAATCTGATAATAACAATAAATATTATTAATTTCTATCAAAAATTAAGAAAATTAATACAGATAATATTACATAAAAATATGAACTTAAATTTGAAAATAATCATTATCTAGCTTAAATAATAAAAATTTATATTGCTCAAAAGTTGCTACTGATAGAAGTGTATAATTCATGAAAAAAAATGTGAATCCAACACAAATATTAGGGCAATAAAATCTATTAAGAAAATTTATAAAAAAATTAGAAAAACAAATAAAATATGCTACCGAAAAAATCATTAGAAGGTTAATTGTCAACAAACAAGCGAATATAAAGATATAAATATAAGGGCCCACAAAGATATCAGCATAATTAGAAAAGCTAATGACAGGATGAAGCTACAATAGTTGTTGAAGCTAGAACATAAACCCAATATTTGATCTGGTCACTCATTTAAATAAAACAAACAATATTTATTTAGGGTTTAGGGCTTAAAGTTTAGCGTTTAAAGTTGAAGGTTCTAACATTTAAGACTGGGTTTAAAGTATAGGGTATATTTAGGACAGTGGTGTAGTGTCGCACCGCAGTTTTTCATGTTTCATAAAATTACTTTATTAGCAATCTCAAAAAAATGCAGTTAAAAACTGTATTTTCTCATTATATGGGTACGTACGTGGCTGCTAAAAAACTGCAATCTGACTTAAAAAAAAATTTGAATAGCAACCGTAACTTTTAAGCAAAAGTTTTTTTCTTCAATAGCTTCATAGTTGCTTCTTCAAACAATTACCCCAAACAAACACTTAGTGTTGAGATTATATGTTTTTCAGAGTTTTAGGTTTTAAAATTTTGGTGTTCAATTTTAAGGTTTATGGTTTAAAATATATAATTTTTTGGGCTTTTTTTTTTTCCTTCGATTTATGGTTTAGGATTTTAAAGTCTAGAGTAGGGTTTAAAGTTTGGTGTTTACCATTTAGAGATTTAGTACTTAGGATTCAAGATTTAGGACTTGGGGTTAGGCTTTAGGGTTTAGATTTAAAAGATGATTTATAGTTTATGATTCACGAATTAAAGTTTGATGTTTTAGAAGTTAAGGTTTAAGATTTTAGTGATTATTGTATAAGATTAGATTTAGGATCTTGATTTTATGATTAAAGGTAAAAGGTTTTGTGTTTAGTGCTTAACGTTTAAGGATTTAAGATTTATGATTTAGTATTTAGAGCTTAGTTACTATACAAGATTTTAGGGTTTATGTATTAGGGTTTCGTGTAAAGACTTTAGGGTTTAGAATTTAGGGTTTATGGTTTAAACTTTAAGGGCCTTATCCCAACTATTTGAATTTAACATTATAAATCCCTTCATTTATGTTTAATGGAGATGCACAACCTACTTAAGCAGTAATTAGACCACTTCAGGAGAAGAGCTTTGCTTTAACAATCAATTACCACTTCAGAAGAAGAGCTTTGCTTTGACAATCCGAATGGAGAAGTTTGTGTATTTTACAAAGTAGAAACAAGACTAGAAAAACACAAATCCTGCAACTTCTACACTTGACAGCTTTAAGCAACAAATAGCTCTTTCCACGCTACGAAGGATTGAATTCCTTGCATGGAAATAAAGTAGGAACAAACTGACAATTTATCTGTTCTATGTTTAATCTTATTGTTCATACAATATTTCAGAATCCCCTCAAATAATTCTCACAATCCCATCCCTAATCATTATTCTGTTGGCATCTTGCATTCTCTGCATTGAAAGAGGTTAGAAGTTAAGCTTATTGAGAATAAGGTTCATAATGTAATTTTACCGCAGCAACTCCAAATTACATATATACCAACCAATTCCTATGTATTTACATATCTAACGCTTAAACTATGTTTTTTTTTTTACATGTATCCACCCAAATCTTTCATATCGCATAAGGAATACCGCCATTTTAAGTTTTAAAAAGTGAAATATTACTTTTCATGCATAGGTAGGCGCATGCATGTAAATATTGAAGTTAGGTGCTAGATATGCAAATACATAGGAATTAAGTGGTATGTCTAAATTTTCCAAGTGTGCACGTGCCATAGGCATCAAGATAACAAAAGTAATGACTTTGCATACTATAGCACTTAGTTGTTATTGAGTTCAACCAGATGATAAAGAATACTTCAATAAGCTAATTTTCAATAAACATAGAAAAAGATGTTCAAATTGCTAAAAGTTTCTATGAATGTGCAGTACAGCTATCATTATTAATCCTAGAAATGCAATCTACATGATTTTAGTATCTAACCAAGCATAATGAACTTAGAATAGAATGCAGTATTCATTTAAGGAAAGCAAATATTATACTAACCTCCAAGATAGCTTCAACTTGCCGCCTGCTGTAGCGTGCAGATGCTTCACGGTTAACTAGGAGTTCAACTTCTGAGATAGAGATCTGATCGAGGTGATTAGCAAGCACATGCTGACCCAAAATTGTTTCAAATGTCTCAATCCTGTAAAGTATGGAGACTCTTAGCTCAAAATCACAATCATGGAGAGTGACAGGTAGAAGTAACAGAATTGCATAAGAAGGTATTTTAATTTATAGCAAATAGAAACCTTTCTGGAGAAACTTCCTCTGTTTCTACTGTATGGACTTCATCAACTTCCATTGGATCTGTTCTGCTTAATACACGCAAGCAAAAGAAATAGTAAAAGCTAAGTGGTTATTCGAACATTGGATCTTCAGTAAAACTTAGGCAACACGTATAATATTTAATGAACAGAGCATGCAAAGGCATTTTAGTAATGACTTCCATGAAGCTGAGGCATTAGACTTGGAGACAATGACGTTAAGTATGAGAACAAAATTAAGAACCCTCAGAGCAACATGTGGATCTTCTTTAGGGTTCCAAAACCAAACCATGAAGTACCATGAAGAGCGGATGTTGATGACCGCATATGGACTAAAATTCTAAAAAAATCATGCAGCTTTGCATCCAAGATGATATGAACAAGGGAATTAAAATAAACTTGATCTTTTTGAGGCCACAGCAAGTAGAAGTGGTCAGAAAATTATTCGGACATCCAAAAAACATCAATTTAGAATTGAGGGAGATAACAGGCATCTTACATTCTTAAAAAAGTTTATTGTATGGATGTAAAACAAAGCCCAAACATCATTCGTTTCTCCAAGTAGCAAAGGAAAGCACAAAAAATTTCATTTTGATTAAGAACAAAAAAGATGTTATAATGTTGAAGTCAAAAGGGATCTAATCATTAGCATGGCACAATAACTGGAGTAATTTTTGTTAACTGCATAGGACAGACAACATACAAACCTTCCATCAGCATCAGCATCGTGGTTGGTGTCTTGATCAGCCTTATGTTTCATCTCCATCTCTCTTTCCCTTTGTTCACGCCTCTTCCATTTCAGTCAACTCTTTATGATATATGGCAAAGTTTAAAACGATCAAAGCAGCTTCAACGTCTACTTTCAATACCTAAAGTAAAATAATGAATCAGGCAGTATCACAAATAATAATGGTATTTAACATTCAGTTAGCACGGAGGCTGCTGCAGTTTTCTTTTTACCATGAACATGTATCAAGTATTTTAAATACATTTAATAATAGCAAAGACCGTGGTTTTTCTTCAAAAACTTACCTCATTCCTTAACTTTAATTTGGCATGAGCTGTGGCGAGACGAATCATAGTCTCTAAAGTTCTTGCAGTGATGGGCAGTGTACCTCCTCCAGACTAAATAAAACAAAAAAAGAATAAAAAATAATCTGAGATCTGTTAACATTTGGCAAAAGAAATCTGAAATAACAAACCTTTGCACTTGCACTAGCATCCCGAAGTTCTGCATATAGAGTTGCAATATGATCTGCTGCCTGAGGATAATCAACGCAAGAAGGTTAAAAAGCAAGAAAACTTGCTATGAAGTGTCCAAAATGACATAACTATTTAACTACTAGGTTTATAAAAGAAAGTAGTTAGAAAACGGCTGATGCTTATAATTGTACTCGTCTGTCAGTCCCAAAAGAGATAGCATGCTGTATGGTTACTTTCATATTTTAACGACGCATTACATACATAGCACACAATTCTTATGGATTACATATCTCACACCAAAACTTTCATATTCATACACACAGCACTTAAATCTTCAATAACACATCAAATAGCACTATTATCAATTTGTAAAAGTATAACTCTTTCTTTCATGCATAAGAACCAAAATGTTATATATGTAAATATGAAAGTTTAGATCTGTGATAGCCGATATGTATATGTATATAAATTGTGAACTATGCATGTAAATTTCCCTACTTTAAATAAAGAAATTTTAAACGGAAGAATCCTCCATAATATGTAAGACGTTGGTGCCACTGAAAAAGCATACTAAGGCCATTAAGATTAAAATAACAACGGCATTCAACGAAGCAATTTGATGGATAGTGTCTTCTGTTCTATGCAGTAAGCAACACAGTAAGTAAAGTCTAATTGTTTAGTTTACCTCATCTGTGAGCTTGGGCTGAATCCGATTTTTGGCATAATGAACATACTTCTTTAAGAACTTAATAGTGAGTCTCTCATTTTTCTGCTTCTTACCCTTTTTCTTTTCATGGCCATGAAGTACTCGATCATACTTGACAAATATGGGTGCATTGACATCAACATCCTCTTCTTCAGTGTATCGGGCACCTTTATCAAAGGCTCCCATTCCTGTATAAGTTAGATGTAAGCTGTTTAGAACAAAAATGGGATAGACAGCAAAGCTACATTGAGTAAAAATTTCACCTCCGTCATCTATACAATATCTATGCATGTGGGAGACATGCTCTGCAATTCGGCGGTCAATTTCAGGATCCATTTGATCAAGGACAATAAAAAGCAGGTCGAAGCGTGAAAGCAACGAGTCTGGAAGCCCAATATTCTTTGTTGGCGTCAATGATCGATCATACTATCATTGTTTCACATAAAAATTGGCATCAAATGAGATGACATCCTACTTCTATATCCCTCCCTTGATTGAACAAGAAAAGCTTAATATAATGAAGAACAAGAGGATTTTTATAATACTGCAAAAGTGAGTCTTAGTGAAAAGGCTTACAGTCCCATATATTGGGTTTGCAGCAGCTATCACACTGCATCTAGCATTTAATGATGCATGAATTCCTGCTTTGGCGATTGTTACTGTTTGTTGTTCCATAACTTCATGGATGGAAACACGATCTTGATCATTCATTTTATCAAACTCATCAATACAAACAACACCTCGATCAGCAAGAACCATGGCACCTGCTTCAAGCCTTCTCTCCCCTGACCATAATAAACTACTAAGAATTTACTAAAGAAGAAGTAAAGGAAACCACCATCATGAAAGTAAATCAAATGGGTACCAGTTTCCTGGTCAGAGGTAACAGCAGCAGTCAAGCCAACACCAGAGGAGCCTCGACCAGTAGTTGAGATAGCCAATGGGGCAATGTTCATGACTGCCCTTAGGAGCTGAGACTTAGCAACTGAAGGATCACCAACCATCATCATATTGATATCACTGCAATATACAAAAAATGAAAAGTTTCAGTGTAAGGCAATGATGTGAAAATTATCAGTCTTGCATGAAAATTTACCCTCTCAAATGTGTTCCATTTTTCAGATTTTTTTCCACTCCTCCAAGCAACAGTAATATAACTGCTTTCTTAATCCACAAATGACCATATATAGAAGGTGCTACTGAATTCCCCATTAGATCCAAAGTATCATTTCTCTTGGCTATTTCTTTCATTTTTTTTAGGTCCTCCAGCGAATATATCGGTGCATTTGCCTCCTTATTGAGAAGAGAAACATTATTTGCTATTAGAACAGTCCTGTAAAAAGGAAACATATTACTTCAAAAGTGAAAAAACGAACAGTATTATAGGAGCGTTAAAGCAATGAAGCACTTATATGGACCTGAAGACCCCGTTCAAACTTCCTTTGCTTTTTCCAGGAAGAGCTTTATATATCCCTACAATCGATACACGGTCCCCGGGCTTGCAAGAATCCACCAGGTCATCCTCTATGATGACATCTACTGTTCTAGGAAGTTGTCCTGGAGCAGAATTTTCAGGAACTTCCTGCATTGACAGTGTCTGATGATCCTTGTATTCACACAATCCATATTCAGTCACAAGTAAGTTTCCATTCTCATCCTGAGGAATATTTGATTGTTAGAAGCAAGAAGGTTTCCTCGAGCGGATCATTATGTAAATTTTAAGTTGCAAAGTTACCCTTGTTGGGTACACACAGCCTGTAGGCAACCCGGTCATGGACGTAATGTCTCGATACTCTCGAGATGTAAATAAACTGGTTGTGGGGCAGTAATGAACACTCTTGATAACTTTTGGTCTTACAAGAGAACCTTAAAGGAAAGAAAAAGATGATACAATGAAAACAAAAGATATAACGAAGGAACAACCTTGGATGAGTAGGCTGCTATGAATGACAATGAGTTGCTAACAGCTGTAGCTCTTGATTTGATTTATTTAGGTCATACCAATAGAACAAGAACTTCCCACATAACGAAAAAAGGGGCAAACAAACTTGCCAGAGAGAAGAAACCATTTATTTTTATTATGTATAGGGTTCAAAGATATATTGTTAATGCATGCCAATTTAAAGTCCAGAAAATATCAATTAAAATATGAGTTCAGCAATAAACTATGACAAAAAAAAGTGAACTATATGTGTGGTCCAAATTCTATATGAGCTGCTCAGTTCCATCGTGTATCCTACAGAAATTATTATCTTTGATGGGATCATTAAAAACTTATATTGATGAGTACAAATTTTGGCATCAAGCATGCGTTTGAACATAATTCAAAATAAATCAAGTGATGCCTAATTTTAACCAAATTGGCCAATTTGGAGATTAGAAAACTAAAAACAGCACAAAAACCCCTTACAATATCCACCATGACACATTGAGCCGATGAAAGCCTAGATCATTTAAATTGAGGCCAATCGTTCAAAAGAATGCGGCTCATGCCTCCCCATCTCTCTTTCATCAATCATCTCTATTTCCCTATCCATTTATCTTTAATCATGTATCTCTTTTTGCGTGTTTGTGTGTCAGGAGAGAGAGAGAGAGAGATGTGATCTATAGAAAGAGGTGGAAGAGAAAAAGATATGAGGTAGAAAGGGATGGGTAGAAAGGGAGAGATTAAAGAGAGTAATATTAAAGATAACAAGACCGCAACTGAAAGAGGTTATAATCTTCATGAGCAGCAATGGATCCGTTCCTGCCTCCATTAATCAAAGAGCACACCTAAACAATGATTCAAGGGAATTACTAAATAACTTGCTCCTAGAGCTCTCCTTTGAGCCTATGAGGACAGCTAAAGATGCTTTAAAGGAGGGAATTACGAACATAGGACCATTTACTCATGTTGAGTGATAGATGATTGCATCTTAACAGGTAATGATGTATAATGACCCACACCCAATTAAGTAATAACTTAATTAGGTTCCTTTCATTAAAGAGTAAAGTGCCAAGATAGTCTCCTGACTGTTTGCACTGAATCATTTTAATCCCAGAGTTTATAAAAGTGCTAAATCAGTTCAAAGGCTATTTCGACCCATATTGCAAGAGTGGGAGACTAAATTGATTATTTTATAAACTTTGGGACTACAACAACCCACTACAAGGAGTCGGGGGACCATTTTGATACTTTTCTCTTTCATTAAAACACACATAATTGTGATTGAATACTTATTTTAAACATTAAGTGCAAGTTCTGTTATTTTATTGAAAATGATCATGAAATTAATCAAAATTTTGATGAAGCATAAGAATGCTAAATTAAAAGTTCATGAAAAATGGAAAGCATTATTTTATCCAAATGGACAGTGTTGACCTCACTTTTGGCGGAGGTATAGCTTTTCTCCTCTTTAATAGCCTAGCCTAGCCCTAGGACTTTCCTGTCGACTACTCCTAGAAAACTAGCAAAGGAGCCCTCACCGTTAGAAATTCTGAGTTTTTCTTCGCTCGACTTAACGTTCTGCATGGTAGTTTTGACCGCTACTACTTAGTAGGTAAGGCTACTGTGGAGAAACTCAAGGAGCATCCCTATAGGACTGTTGGCCTTAGGATTGACCATATGCGTTGATTTGGCATCGTCGTGCTTTTCGCCGTCCTGTTTGATTGAGCTCAAGACGAGTTTTTGACGTGATTCGGGTCGCGACGCGTTTTTGTCTCGATCATCGACGAGGTTGTCTAAACGACTCCGGATGACGAAACAGACTGAGCCAACGAGTCCAGAACGTCGATTTTGCCTAGGGGAGACGTTCATTTCATTTCGACGACGCGTCTAGGGGGAAATGCGTAATTTATATATAATTATAATAAATAATAATAATATTATTATTATTATTTATAACTCCTTCCCCCCCTTTTTTCTACTTATTTCACACTCGTGGGCCTACCTCTGCCCTAGCGTGGCTCGTTTGATTGATTGGCCCGCTCCTTCGTGTCGTTCGAAGATTTCATTCTCGCGTCCGCCTCTCGCACGCGAGACACCTCTCGCAGTCGCCCATCCCGTATCCTATCCTCTGCGGATATGTTATCCCGTTTGCTCTCGATCCTCTCTGCCACAGAGCGTAGCCTCTGCGAGGATCATATCCTCTGTCTCTCTCGATCCTTCTTCGATTCGTATGCGATCCCCTAATCATTCCTTCTTCTTCTCTATGGTTTATATGAGACTCTGTTTGGTGCATTTCCAGGGACCGAAAAAAATTTCTAAGTGAGGGAAAATTCTATCATTTTCTTTTCTCACTTACTTCTTTAGCCTGTAGTGCTTGGGTTGGCTTCCTCTTACTGTTGGAAGAGGAGTTAAAGTAGGGAGTGTCTTTAAAGTTTTTGTGTTACTTTCTTTTTGATTCAAGGAGGTACCTTCCCCCCTGTGCCTTGCCTCTTTTCGGTTTTCTCTCTGTCGAGTCCCTGGAGCTTGGTACAGTGGACAATATAGCATGCTAGCCTAGTGTTGCACCTTTCTTTTTTAAAATGCATGTTACTTAAGCATCTAGAGATGGAAATATGAGCATGTTTTAGGAATTATAGTTTATTACTTGCTTAAAATGATGGAAATATGGCATGTTATCAGTTCTTCTCTTTTCTCTACTTGCTAAAGGTGATGAAACTATGGCATATTTCTGTTTACTGTGACATATTTCTATGGGAAGCAAATTGGAAATATTAAAATGTGACTTTGAAATAATGTTGGCTCCTCTTTCAAGCATGTTGGGATATGTATTATGAAGTTTTTCATTCATTCTTATCTAGCATGAGATATTGGAAGGGTTATTTGGCCTTTCATGCATGAGAAGGGCTTGGTTTTGACATGTCACGGATTCTTTTTGCTCAAAATGCATGCTAGGAAGAAGTTTATATTGATTTGAAAAAATTCTATAGTTGTTCTTATTTGAATCATGAGGTGGCCCTATGTTTTTTATATTTTGAAGGCATGAAGGTGTTTTTCTAGCTTTCATTGTGGCCTGATTTTGTGTCTTAGCTGCGGCTTGATTTTTGGCCCCTACTGGTTTTCAGTTTGCTTAAGGATGGCTGGGTTTGGATTCATTGCCATAAACTGCATTTGTAGCTTATAAAATTTTGGTTTCTAGCCTCCATTGGGGCTCGATTTTCACCTTGGAAGGGCATGAGATGTTGGTTTTGTTGAGGCTTGGCTTTTAGTTTTGGTTGAAATATTGTCCTAATTGTTTAAGCTTCACGTATGGGCTTTGAGGGGTTTGCTTTTGGCTTTGTTTGGGGACTCGGTTTGCTTGCCTTAGCTCCTATTCGAGAGCCCGTTTTGGTGTTTATTCCTACCCCTGCTCCATAGTTGTGGGAGGGTTTGATTTTATTTGCTTTAACCCCTGCGAGGGGCTCGATTTTGGCATCTTGTGAGTGTTTTTGACTTAAAAATACATATTGTGGAAGAATTTATTTTGATTTGGAGGAGTTCCATAGCTATTCTTGTTTAAAACATATGGTAGTCTTGTATTTTGATTTTTTGAGGGCATAGAGATGTTTTCTTGTCTTAGTTGTGGCCTGGGTTTGAACCTCAGTTGTGGCTCGATTTGGCTCTGGTTGGGAGCTCGGTTTTGCCTTGTCCTGCCCTTACCCAAGAGGTGGCTTGGGTTTTAATTTTTGTTGGCCTTAGCTCCTACCCGAGA